GAAAAACCCACTTGTGTCCTTATCTTGGGGTTCATTTTGCTTAACATCATCTTATCTGACCTTTTCTGCTTGTCTCAGATATATGCTAGTCATTGCAAATAAAGGAAACTATGGGACCTATGTTTCTTTGCGCCTGGCTTACTTCACTTAATATAATTTTTTCCAAGTCTTTCCATTTCCTAACAAATGGGGCAATGGCATTCTTTCTGATGGAGGCATAGCATTCCTCCTGGAATTCTTTTTTCCAAGACTTCCAGATGTATTGCCCTAGCTGTCTCTATTAATAAAACAAGAATTCCACTCATCTCTTCCCAACTCTTAGACAGCTAAGATGTATGAATTCCTCAGAAGATGAATATGGCAGAAACTCGGGGATGATACTGATGGGTATTCAACCTATACCTTTCTACATCAGCTACAATAATAATGGAAAATCTGGACCTCTGCCATCACAATAGAAAAGACAGTCATCATTGATTGATTTTACCCTCACCACTTCCAGAGCATATGGGGATGAGACATCTTGTGAAACATATGCTGTTTCAAATGTAATAATGCTAAATATTTAATATTCCACAATGGGTTACCATCAATTGATTTAGAGTGAGTTGCATCAATCCCACAGCAGCGGTAATTTCCACTTCAGCTTCTCTGGCTTTACCTGGCTTTTCTTGCCTTTCTAGCTTTCTATCCTACTAGTTAGTTCATCCATTCTATTTGCCATTGAGAAAAGTATGGGAACCTGTTGAGAAACAATGGTGGCCAACTAGTCTTTGCCTAAGGCTCCCATACCATCATGCCTCTGTGCCTCTGAGCCCATTTCTGCAATTACTGAAGGCTCTCCTGCACCCTCTGACCAAAGAGCATAACAGTGGCCCATTTACCTTTAAAAGACATTGTTGTAAATATTTTTAGGTTGGGGGAGGGGTGCTAAACATTTTCTCAACTGGACCTAGTCAATGCATAATAATTCCATGAATATCAATAGCAAGCCAGTGGTTCATGCTTGTAATTCTAGCTACTCAAGAGACTGAGATCTGAGGTTCATGATTCAAAATGAGCCAGGGCAGGCAAATCCTCAAGAGTTTTAATCTCCAATTAACCAGCAAAAAGCTAAAAGTAGAGGTATGGCTCAAGTGGTAGAGGACCAGCCTTGAGCAAAAGGTAAAGAAGAGAGCCAGTTTCCTGAGTTAAAGCCCCAGTACACACACACACTCATGCACATACACACACACACACACACACACACACACACACGCCAGCAATTAGCACTAATAACATACCCTATAATTTTTACCATGTGTTAAGCATTTATGATACTTATGTCTAATGATCATATTAGTCCAGCAGGACTGAGACTCAAAGAGGTTAAATGACTTGGTCAAGATCATAGAGCTGGAAGTGTTGCTCTGGAAGTGGTAGAGAGCTTGTCTTGAGCTGAAGAGGTCAGGGACAGTGCCCAGGCCCAGAGTTCAAGCTCCATGACAAAAAAAATAGAAAAAGATCATAGAGTTTATAACTAGATAGGATCTCTAAATATCTAAATCACATCTTTCTTAATTCAAAGTCTATTTGTAGTTTTAAGCCATGGGGAGGTATCTCAGTTGTGGTTTGCTTGCTTAACATGTACAAAGTACTAGATTCCATCCTCAGCACTAAAAAAGAAGCAATGTAGGCATATACCTATAATCCTAGCACTTGAGAGGCTGAGGCAGGAGGATCAGATCAAGGGTTCAAGGCCAACCTGTGCCATTTTGTTTAGAAACTACTCTAGCCACTCATACAGATGCTACCTCTACATTATATTCCCCAAAGCAAATGGCTGTAACAGCCCTACCACAACAAGGAAAAAATCAGAACTCTTCAGGCACTGCTCTAAGCAATTCAGTAGCTACAACAGATAGGACAGTTCTATTTGGGTTTTGGCTCCATTTTTTCCCCTCAAATTTAAAAATCAGATGTGAACATTAAAAATTAAGATAAGGGTGCTGGTGGCTCATACCTATAATCCTAGCTACTCAGGAGGCTGAGATCTGAGGATTGTGGTCTAAAGCCAGCCTGGGCAGGAAAGTCCATGAGACGCTTAGCTCCAATAAGCCACCCAGAAGAAGTTGGAAATTGTGCTGTGGCTCAAGTGGTAGAGCACTAGCGTTGAGCAAAAGAAGCTCAGGGACATTGCCCAGGCCCTGAGTTCAAGCCCCAGGACTGGAAAAAAATTTTAAGTTAAGCCAAGTAAAATATAAAGAACAATGAAAAATATCAACCTAAGCACTTTAATATTAAAAAGGACGTTTAGATTTATAAAGTAGCTGCAAATATAGCCAAGTATAGTTTTCACCCATCTGGCCCTTATGTTCACACCTTCTTATAACTGCTGTACAATTAAGACAGTAAGAAACAGGAATTAGCATAAGAGTTTTAAACTAAAGATATAATCTGGAGTTTGCCCTGTTTCCTCATTACTGTGCTATTCTCTGTTCCTCAATCCAGTCCAAGATCTCACATTGCTTTTACTTGATATGGCTCCAATCTTGCCTTTCTTGACTTCTGAAGAATTGGGTTAAGTTGGGTGCTCATACCTGTAATCCTAGCTACTCAGGTGGCTGAGGTCTAGGGTTGTGGTTCAAAACCAGCCCAAGCAGAAAATTCCGTCAGACTCTATCTCAAATTAACCACTAAAAACCAGAAGTGAAGTTGTGGCTCAAGTGATAGAGTATCAGCCTTGATCAAAAAGACAAGCAAGAGTGTGAAGTCCTGAATTCAAGCTCTAGTACTGTCACACGCTCACAAGTGTGCAAGCACGTGTGCACACATGCACACTCACGCACACACACATACATACATACGCACACACATTCCTGTCCCAGCTCCAAAAATTCTGAATTAGGATGTCTGGAAGGGAGCGTTTTGAGAAAACTCCCAAGACATTTTCATTGCAGGACCAAATCTAGGAACCGCTGTAGTGAATGCTACACTGGTCCTCTCCCCGCCCTCAATCAGCCCTCTAGATAGTAGGTCACCACAACCCTGCACTTTTCTCACTCAGGTAACTAACATTCTATTGAAAACCACACCTCCTTCCTCTGAGTCCCCCTGGGTCTGCAGGAACTCCAGAAGCTTAGTAAGATCCTCTGTATTCCAGGAAAAAAATTCTATTCTTTCAACATCCTCTTCCTCTACAAAAATACATCCAGCAGACTTTATTCATGGTATTGGGTTTGTAAATACTAAGAGCCAGGTGGCCTCATAGGGAAGAAAGTCTTTTCCCTTACCAAGAAGAAAGCCAGGGACACTGGAAAAGAGGCTATCAGGTTGAAGGGAGCGGAAAGGCCTTATCCCTCACCACTGGTTACCCCCATGAGGCCCTTTCACACACATTCTGCACAAGCAGAATAAGTAGAGACCCATTGAGCCTTCCTGGCCCCCAAATGGATGACATAGCAGAGCTGCAGAAATGATCAGGACAAAGAATCCAGAGCCTTTAAATGGGAAGAATAGACACCACTCCAAGTCCAGTACATGCCATGTCTGCGCACACTGACAACTAAAAAGGTGATTCTCCTAATGACTCTTACCCACCCACAGGTGCCAAAACAAATGGGTATGTCTAAGAGTGAAAACATAACCAGAGCTGCCAAATTTAGTGGTACTTAAGGAGAGTCTTCTGTGAACATTTTGTTGTTGTTGTTGTTTGTTTCTTTGGGTGATTATAGGACTCAGCGCCTTGTAGTTTGCTGACCCACATCCCCAGTCCGGTTTTTTCACTGATTATTTCAGCCTGTGCCTGAGCCTTGACCCTCCTACTTTGAGATTCCCGTCATCACTGGAATCACAAATATGAACCCCAGTGTCCAGTTTCCTTCTGTGGTGACGAGTCAGACCTTTCTGCCCAGATTATCTTGCTCCTGTGATCCTCCCAATCTCAGCTTCCCACATAGTTGGAGAACACAGGTGTGTAATCCTTGTACCCAGCAATGGGTTGAAAAGGAGTCTTGCAAACTTCTCTACCTGGGTTGGCCTTGAACTGAGATCCTCCCATTCTGAGCCTCCCAAGTAGCTAAGCTCACAGGTATGAGCCTTTATTCATTGTTTAAAAGTTGTTTTGTTTTGCTTAATGAGATGAAGTCCACATAAAATTATCCATTTACAAATATACATTTCAGATGGGAGGGAAAAACTGGGAGAGAGCAAGGGAATGGTTGACACTGTCCAAAAAGCAATGTTGTTTTTACCTGAGGTGTGTAAACTGTAACCCCTCTGTACATAACCTTTATAATAATAATTTTAAAAATTAAATGCACATTTCAATGGCATTAAAAACATTCACAGTGTTTAGCAAGCACCATCTATATCAAAGTCCAGACATTTTCATCACAAAAGAAAGCCTATCAGCTGTATGGCTCATACCTGTAATCCTAACTGCTCAGGAGGTTGAGCTCTGAGGTTCCTGGTTTGAAGCCAGCCTGGGCAGGAAAGTTTGTGAGACTCTCATCTCCAATTAACAGCCCCGAAAGCAGAAACAGAGTGATGGCTCAAGTGGTAGAGCACCAGCCTTGGGCACAAAAGCTGAGAGATATTACCCAAGGCCCTGAGTTCAAGCTCCTGGACAGGTATGCATATACACACAGCAACAAAGAAAGCCCGTCTCCTTTTAGCAGTTAATTTTAAGGAGTGCCAAGAGCCTTCCACAGAGTGGCAGGGGTTTTCCTCCATGACTAGATTTTATGTAGCCCCCACTGAAGAATTTTGCACAGCTTCATTTCAAAGAATACAGGAACATCTTCTCTGCTCTCCAGATGGAGGTAGCCTCCTGGAAACACCTGACTTTTCCTTCTTGTTCCCCTCAGTTTGGTGGACAGGGCCTAAGTTTGTCCCCATTGCTTGGTTTCCCGTGACCCATTAAATCAAAGGCACCATGAGGACTTTGAGAATAACCTCCAGAATGCCCTACAAACTTAGTACCTCCTCTGAAATGGGTCGAGACAGAAGATGGCTCTTACCCTCTGCTTCTCTGGGTCCACATAACGAATGCCGAAATAGTCCTTCTCCAGCAAGCTGTAGTAGTTGCAGATATGGTCAATCAGAAACTGTCCTTTGGTCTCCCTCTGCAAGGGAAGCACATCCGGGTGTTAGCCAGAACTTACCTGCATATTCAAATCTCACCCACAGAGGGCTTCACTCACCTCAGTGGGTCTGTACTTAGACAAATGGATTCATCCCTCACGTTAGTCCTGGAGTAAGGCCATCCCAAGTCTTTTTGACATAACCTCAGTGAGAAGTGTATTTTACAATGTGAACCATCACTCACACACACACACGCACACACACACACACACACACCCTCAAAATGTACACCCAAAATACTACATGGATACAACGTGGTCTGGTATGTTCTACTTCATTCTATCACAAGCCACTAACTTTCTCAATACTATTTATGATTCAGGACACTGACTTCACAGTTCAATATTTTGTGGAGGCCGACAGTTTCCAAACTCTCATATAACACATACACTCCTGGCTGCTTATTCTAATCACTGAAATATTCACTCACCCAATCTTCACCATGATCTCAGAAGGAAGGTCCTCAACTCATCAGTAAAAGTGGCCACAAAGGCGTTTCCTGACTCTCCCAAGGTCATACAACTTATACAGAGTAAGGCAGTATCTGAGTCAGGCCAACTGGCTATCAAACTTGGGCTCTCCTCCTGGTCTACTTTGTCTCCCTGCACACTGCATCCTTTGAGTTTCTGCAGAAGTCAGGCTCTGGGTGGCAGGGGAAAGGTACTGAAATAATCTCAGTTTCCACTAGGGATGATGGGAAGCTTTCTTCCTCAAAGCCACCCGTAGCCCACACCGAAAGGTATTGTGGGAAACTGGAGGAGCCCAGACTGGGATCTAAAGACACGCTCTAAGCCCTTTGAAAAAATAAACAATTTAACAAAATGCCCATCAGGACGCTGAAACCAGTGGAAGGGAGATGAATGAAAAAGAGAACAGGGAACAAATAGGGCAAGAAGGCTCGGTGTACAGTTGTGATAAAGGAAGTGGGAAATGGGAAATTAGTCTGGGGCGGGGAGGAAAAGATGGGATGGCCAGAATAGTGGAAGGGATCACTCTGATCAAGAAGCACTGGACAGAGCTGGGCTCTGGTGGCTCACACCTGTAATCCTAGCTACTCTGGAGGCTGAGATCTGAGGATCTTGGTTCAAATTCAGCTGGGCATAAAAGTTCATGAGACTCTTACTCCAGTAAAACTACTCCGAAGGTGCAGTAGCTCAAGTGTTAGAGCGCTAGCCATGAGTATGGAGAGGCTCAGGGACAATGCCCAGGCCCTGAGTTCACACCCCAGGACCAGCACAAAAAAAAAAGAAAAAGAAGCAGCAGCAGCACTGGAAACTTAGATGGACATATTAAATTGTAACCCCCTTGTAGAGACTTTTGAAGTTTAGAATAAAATAAAGTAAAATGAAATGAAACAATTCATTACCAAAAAAATTAAGTAAAAATAAATAAAGACAGGCCCTGTAATCTTGGCTAAAACTCCAGCTATTTCCATTTTAGTAAAATGAGATTGATAGGCTTGATGATTTCTAAGTTAGATAGATTTATTTCCCTTCCAAAATTCTTTTTTTTTGGGGGGGGGGTCCGGTCATGTCCCTCAGCTCTTCAGCTCAAATGCTAGCACTCTATCACTTGAGCCACAGCGCCACTTCTGGCTTTTTTCTTTTTACTTATGTGGTGCTGAGGAATTGAATCCAGGGCCTCATGCATGCAAGGCAAGTGCTCTACCACTGAGCCACCTTCCCAGCCCCCTCCCTTCCAAAATTCTTAATAAAAGGTCTATCATCCAAATCTGATTAAGATAAATACTAATATAACAAAACACTCTTACTAGCTAAGATACATCTGAGCTCTCAGCAAGATATCTGATAAGATTAATTTCTACTTCAATCAAAGTTGCTGACAGACCCATGGAAAATTTTCAGGTTAGAATGTGACCTATAAAAAGAAATTAGACATATTAAGTGAGCTACTCTTCTAGTTCATTAAAAACAATTTGTTTGTTCTATGTTACCTGACATTATTTTCATTAAATTGTTGCCTTTCATTGAAATTACACCATCGAAGAGGTTGGATGGCAAATCCTGGAGTGCACTGATTTGAACAAAGCTTTGGATTTATAATCACTTACTGTGATACAAAGCCTCTGTTTTCCTGAAATCACTTTCAAGTTTAATTTTTCATGATGGTGAGCCTTTCTTTCTAAGAGAAAAGGGTCTGATGTCATGCAAAAAAGATTTTTAAAAACATAAAAATTGAACTTGTTTTTAAATTTCTGTAGGCTCAGAGGACAAGCTCAGTTTAGTGGCAGCTAACTCCAATGCCTAGGTGGTAGGTATAGAGTAGCTCCTTTGCATATATACTCTGTAAGCCATTCATCTTTAAAAGTCTCAGCAATATCAGCTTACTGAAAGCTAACATGTGAGGTCTGTTCTTTATGGTTGGATGGCAAAGCTCCCCTGCACTGGGGTTTAGTAAGAGGAACTACTCCTACTGTATGTAAGGTTTATGACACCTGGCTCAAGGCACTGTGATATACTGGTAGAGAATTGAGAACATGTTGACTGGACATGATGGGTATGGCTGTCATTTTGCCCTAAGGAATATGTGCTCCAAAGCATAATAAAGTTTTTTAAGTGATTAAACACATTGACTAATACAGACTCCAGCAATTGAAGACCCATAAGATGAGGAAATAGCCATAGCTAATAATGGAGTAATGCGGGTGTGTGTGTGTGTGTGTGTGTGTGTGTGTGTGTGTGTGTAATAGAGATCAAAGCTTTTCAACCATCCCAAGTGGGATGGTTGAGACATAGTTTGTCTGTTAATGGTGGTTGGAAGATTGGTCCTCAATGTAAGCGAGATGATTAGATCACAGGTCACCACCCTCAGAAGGGATTAATATAGATTTTTCAGGACCAAGCTTTCTTACAAGAGTAGGTTGTTATAATAACAATACTGAGCACAGCCCCTTTCCTGTCCCTTGCTCTCTTCTTCATAGGCATGGCTCTTCTGTATTTGAGCAATTCATTTCCACTCCTCCCTCGTGCTGTGATGGCCAGATGTGATATCATACACTTCAGACTTTTGAGCCACCAGAAGCATAAGTCAGATAAATCTCTTTTCTTTGGATCTTACCCAGAGTCAGGTTCTTTTGTTTTGTTTTGCATCTGAGTGCCTCTTTATGGAGAAGAATTAACATTTTTATACAGTGTGTGATTGTGACATAGATTCTTTGTTTATTTAAGCACATAATCAATTTTTTTAAAGCAAAGCATTGATGGGTTACATGAATATTGATGACTATCCCACCAACTGTTTGAGCTAAGTGGTGCGAAACAAGTCTAGCATATTGTTTAATAGAATGCGTCATCTATTCAGCCTTTTTATGTTTAATAATTAACAAACCTAAGACAGGGCTGTACTTTTATTGTACTCTTTTTATTTTTTTCCATATATTGTCAAGTCCCTTTGAAACCATCCTAAAAACCACTCCCAGGTTGAGTCAGGCATTCTCCGTTTCCTATGATCTTAATCCCAATATTTGTTCACATAAATTTCTAATTGTTATTTTAAACTATCTTATTGTTATTTTGATAAGTAATACCATAATGGTCTAGATCTTCCTAATCGTTGCATAAAATCTAATGAGTACCAAGATACCCTTTTTCCTTTTACATTAATCCATCTATTTTCATCTTTATGAACTCCTGAATAAGGCAATGATTCATCGGTCGGCTCAGGAAACGTGATGTCACTAACTTCATATTTTGTGGGAAACCACCATCTATTCCCTATAACGTAACTGGACCAAACTTTGTCATAACTGTTGGGGGAATCTTTCTTTTCCTTTTATTATCAGGGGTCCCTTTTTCTAGAACTCTCTGTGCTTCTGGGATAACTCCTTTTGATTTAGTTTAATTCATTAAATCTGCCTGTTGTAACACATCTGGAAATTTTAAATTTCTATGTTTACTATAAGTCAGCCGCAAAACTGCTTGTGAAGTTGCAGGAGTTTCTGGAGGCAGAGTCAGGTGCTGTGTTACAACACAAAATAGAATGACACTGTGGTCCCCGGATACCCAATGGGTTCTAGGATTTTACTACTCAAAGTATGACCCAAGGGCCAGCAAGATCAAAGAACAGTGCCTTCAGTGCTATCTTGGAGGGAACTAGATGGGAACATAAACTTTCAGGCCCTACTTTTAACTTACTGAGGCCAGTGAGTACCATGACAACATCGCCAGGCTATAAGTATGCTCGGTAATGTTTGAGAAGCATTGTCCAGGGGGAATTCCCTGACATGGGAAAAGTACAAAACTCCTGATGTGGAAAAAGTACAAAGAGTACAAAGTAATGACTTCTACTGTCTACAGAGGTCATGTTTTTCTCTTGAGAATTGTCCATTCCTGGACTCAGCCAAGATTAAAGTCCTTTTCCACTTCATGCACCCGAGCTGACCCTGCCTCCAACCACTGCCGTCCTTCTCCTGCACCTAGAGAACACCCCACTTAGCCTCATCACCTCAACATCTCAACCTATTCCTTATCACAGTGCTTCCTGCCAAGGCAGACAGCATGAAGCCTCATGTTTAGTACTAGACCTCTGCTGCCTGGAAATCTGGACCTGTGTCTGCCATTTAAGTCCCTGTTGTCATTTCTGAGCAGGAAATTCAGTTCTTGCATTAAAATAGACTACACAGACCCAATACCAAGGGATGCAATAGTCGTTCGGGGCCAGTTGAATGAAGAATAAAAGCCCAGCTACCTGTCTGCGAACCACACTTCAGGGGAGAGGTTGAGGAGTGTACAGGGATCCTAACCAGAATTCCTGAGCCTCCTGAGGGTAGAAACATCCTCTGCTACCTAAGCCGATGCCCCACACACTGGATGATGCTTCTGGCTCATGGAAAGCCTGGGGTCTGGGAACATATGGAAGTTCTTCACAGTCTTTCCAAGAGAGAACTAATGGTAGCTGAGGTGAGAAAGTAAAGTCTTCACATCAGCAGTTCCCCCAGCATAGAGAAGTCAGCTAACTTTCA